CTTTTGAGTAAAAAACAGACAGAGAGCAGCAGGGCCACAGCTGCTCACAACATTAGGAACTGTATCCCTTAAATGTTTAAAATGTGATGTCAGATGTGATGGCAGTTTTGTCTTTAAGTTAGAATATTGTAAAACATTTTAACTGAACCTGATGCAGTGCAAAGGGGATGCCAGTACCTACCATAAATATCCTGACAGTGCTTACACAATGACCCATATGCCTGCTACAAAAACAACTAATCTCAAACACTGGTTAGATATAGGCAACTAAGACAACTCGGTTAAAGCTAGAAACATGATGTGGGTAGATAGACTTTTGCAAAATTGTAATGACAAGCTATTTCCATCATTGCTTCTAAGAAAGAACTCAGAAAAAATAATTTACATGTCAAAAGTCACCCCCACCAGACTTTCAAAATGTACAAGAACATGAATTCAAATGAAAAATATTTGGGCTGCCATTTGTTGCACAGCTGCAGCTCTACACACACTGCACACACAATAAACGCAAATCCTACCAACCCCCATGATTTTTGCAAGACCCTGTAATTTTGTCTAATCATGGCAAAGTTTTCCACAAATTTTACCTATCACTGTAGTTTCGCCGTACGTCACCAACCTCACTTCCTTGTTTCTTGATGTGAAGATGCAGACATGAGCAACATTTACCTGGTGTAATGGTAAATTCAGTTTCTTTGTTTAAGCCACTACATATGGGAAAAGGTGCCTACAATTATACAAAAATGTTTTTGCAATTTTCATGTTCTCCTGCAATTTCATTGCAAAAAAAATAAAACATTTAAAAAGCTTAAAAACATCACAACATGCATCGCAATTCTTTAAAAAAGCTGCCATGAAATCAGGCATTCTAGACCACAGCAATCTCTCTGCAAGAAAAACCAATGAAATCCCGGAGGAACTGACAAAGACCAAAAGTGTGGCAGCATGACTTAGGCGCATAGAATTGTACAATTGAATGCTCTTTGAGGCCAGTACTTTGATTCACGCAAAACAAAAAATTCTTTCACCAGTTTCCGGACAAAAGTTTGGACCATGTAGCATTAAGGCCCCAGTATGCTCGCCGTTTGCGACCTGTCGCGCGACACTGTGACGTCAAAATGACGTAGACTCCCTCGCCTAGCGCACAGGACTTTTTGGCCGCAGACGACGGTAGCCCTTCTCTCAGTTGCGCCCACCCCACCAAAAAACACTCTGATTCAGGAGAAGACTGCAACTAGTGTCGCGACCACCAGCGCAAGTATAAATAGTTACGGTGCTCCTGTGACGTCACGTTGTTGCGCAACAGGTCGGCAACGGTGAGTCTACATGACCCTTTAGGTGCAGGGATAACAGAACCTGTAAGGAGGACCTTTATCTCTGTGGCTCTCAGAAATCCGGCCTGTATAGTAGAGTGGCTAGATGGGAGTCACTCCTGTGTAAAAGTCATATTAGAGGCCACCTTGACTTGACTTTGCCAAACAGCTCTGAAAGCAGTCTGAGAGCAGGAGGAAAAGAACTCTCTGAGGTGATGAGACAAAAATTCAGCTCTCTAGCCTGAATGCCAGGCACTAGGTCTGGTGAAAACAAGGCACCACTCATCACTGTAGTAATGACGTCCATCTGATGAAGCACAGAGAGGCAGGATCTGGGAGAAAGGCCAATAAGTGGAGCCAAACACAGATCCTTGAGAAGAAACCTGCTCCATTGAATCATTTGCTTTGAGTTAATGTTTCTGTCTGTGTTTCTGCTCATTTCCAGTCCACCTGTTGGTTGAATCAATCTCCACTGTCTCTTTATTGCATTTACAAGTGGAAGAGTGATTTGGTCAATATGCCCATTCAATCAATTCCAGTCAATAATTCAGAACAAAGTGTCTGAGGTATGAGGCGACGTTATCAAGGTTTCAACACACAAGAAGACCTTTTAAAGCATAGTAATGTCAAACAAGACTTCAAGTCTTGTCTACAGTCATGCTAGCAGCTCTATGAGGCTGTACTTAGGCATAGTGGGTCTTTAAGTTGTATGCTAATGTCAGCATACTAACATGTTCACAATGACAGTGCTAACATGCTGAAATTTAGCAGTTAATGTTTACCATGGTCACAATCTTAGTTTAGTATGTCTGCATGCTAGAATTTGCCAATTAGCACTAAACACAACGAATAGCCGAGTCTAATGACAATGCCATTGGTCCTGTGGTTATTTTGTCACAGTTGAAGGCACTAGATGAAAATTCCTAAAGTCATTACAATTCATTATGAAGGGACCAGGTCTGTAATAGAGGTCTTCACAGGTCCGGGACCTGGAAATGTAATACCCGGAACCAAATCAGACACGTGTATTATTTGAAAGCTGGGACCTGGACAGAGAAACGCCAGAGCATAACCTGACACAGAGCTGATCGGCACAGCTGACTGCTATTTACAAGCTAACGCTAAAGGTTATACACATGATATTTAAAACATTTATATGCCTGTATTGCTATCACAGCCTCTCTGTGGTTTGTTTCCATAGCCAGTCTGCTCTGTATGCAGCTGAGTAGAGCCACTGAAACTGCTGTGCAGCTTTTGGTAGGCCTCGACTCTGCAGACGCAGCTGAGATGGGCATGAGACCGGCATGAGACCATTCTAATCTGTTAACATGGATGCTGAAATAAAAATCCAGATGTTTGGCCACGCACACGCCATACATACAAGCTACATACATATAACAAGCTGTTAGAATATCAATCAATCTGTACTTTGACGGGTGCATTTAAGATAATGTCAGCTTACGTTGTGGTCATTGCAGCCCTTTTCACAAATATTTTCTCAAGTTTATTTTGACCAAACCAGTGTTAGTGATTGATTGAGACTGTGGGAAGACTAACAAATACAGTTTTCGTGAGTTTTATTTAATGTCTGTGCCAGCGTTTGGTTTAAGATGCTTGTGCTCTAGTGTGACATCCATTAGTAAGTGAATTTTGTATATATAAACTTTTCAAAACAAAAGGTTTCACAGTAGCTCTGCCGTCTGTCTGTCATATATGTAAAACCAATTAGCAATCAAATCTCCCAATCAGCTTCCCTATCATAATTTATATTTCTAAATCATGCAACAGGTTTCAGTTAGTTTATACAAACGCACACACGACTAGAAACATGCAAAAATACACACTGCTAACTATCTGATATAATGTGTGATTATCATTTCAGCAGCAGTGCCAGGGGAGAGGCTGCTCTGACTTTCCTGTGTATTGACTGATTAAATTCTATTCCCCCGCTGAGATGGCAACAGCTGAGATGAATGAAGACACAGGCACAGTTTTCCAAAGCAACTGTCTTCACAAATAAATAGATGACATCAAAAAACCGATGCATGCTTTTCACATGCCAATATACAGTTAAAGCTAACAACATGCTATCAAAGACTGTACAGGACATGTACAGGCAATCTGTGGGAGAATAAGGATTCTTGTCACACTGTCAAAATGTGTTCACCTCAAACTTAAAGTCATTAAAGAGAGTCATGCTAGAAAAATAAAAGGGCCACAGTACGTCAGTGGATTACATAAATGACGGATGCATTCTCCTTTAATCAATACTTCCCACCTATATATGTACACCAATCAGCCATAACATTGTGAGCACCTGGTGGTCAGAATGTTCTGCTACCAACAAACCTGCTCTGGCACTGGTGTCTACTGTGCTGTTCATCCAGACACCAGCATCTAACGTGATTCAGGCCCAGTTGCGAGGCTACAGTAAGCTCGTCTGTTGGATCGGACCAAACGGGCCAGCCTTCACTCCCCACGTGCATCAGTGAGTCTTGGCTGCGGCTGATCGTATTAGTAAAATTAGGAAAGCTGTAACTTTGGTGTCAGTGTAGAGAGTGTGGTTGGGGTGATTTCTCCAGGCAGCTGTAGTTTAAAGCTACAGTAGATGGAGGGATGAAAAAGAAAAGGAGGAAGTTGGCAGAGGTTCCAAAAGGGGCGGGACTTATTGTGCGTTCTATTTACCTCAGAATTCGGAAGTCAAGGCTGGGAATGACATTACACCCGAGTTGACCACATTCCGGTACAACAAGTCAGCAAACAAAGCTCTAGCCAGGCTATCCGATAGACACGGGTATGTACAAATTCATATTTGTTTTGTAACTAGTTCCAACACAAATGTGTTTCTCTATACCATATGTTTATTTGTGTTTACAATGCAATGTAATATCTTAAAGTTATAGGGGGGGCTGGTGTCTCAATTGAAGCTCCAGAGTTCTTTTGGAAATGGCAAGAAACCTGTATCTCTACATGGTCTGAATCTGTGCGGTCATATGAGAACACAGCAGTCAAGCAAGGACAAAAACCACATTTTCCTTTGAGAAAATTCTCTAAAAATCTTTGTGCCTGTCAGTGAGACCTTGCTGTTCTTCTGAGGAAGCCAGCAACGTTCACACAGAGAGAGGCAGCAGTCAATATGTAATGATAGCCAGATAATGATGGTGCTGAAATTGGAAACAGATCTGCTTCCCTTCCTCCCTCTCTCAGATCTGGGCACTCAGTGTATGAACACACTCACTACACGGAAGCCCAGAAAAGAGACAAACACAGAGACAATCTAAATTATACAGTAAAGGTCACACATGGAGAAGTATGAAATGGTATACAAGGAAAGCAGACACCACATAAGGCACTGTTATTAATACTGATGCACAGGATGAAACTTTCTGTTAAAGTGGACTAGACAGGAACAGATAACTATATTTGGAGATGACACACACACACCATGCTATGTGTTAGGCTGTCTGTGTTGAAAAGACGACCATGTTTTGAAGAAGTTTAAAAGATAAAAGTGACATAAAGTCACCACTTAAGTTAGCTAATGTTAACAAAGTGTTGGCTAACTAGCTAGCTAATTTTCATCAATCTTTAGCTCCCTAATTAAGTAGTGTTTGGCTAAAATTTGCTATCAGATGTAGATAGATGGATAATGAATCCTATGACACACACACACACACACACACTGACCGGTCTCTAAGGTCGTCCAGGCAGCGTTGGAGATGAACTTCACCAGCAGTGACCAGAACATGTTCTCCTGTTTCCTGGATCAGAACCTCAGCACAGGGATCTGCCTGGTTCAGCAGACGCATCCCACGCACCAGCTTTGGCATCTCACCTGACACACAAACAAATAAGGTGGAAAACGATTTATTGATTTGTCTGCATTGGCAAATTATTGGTCATAGCATCTACAGTGGGAGGGAAAATGCTATCGGTGCAACTCTAGCACAGTGGATGGTGGCTTTTTGTAGGAAACCCTTAAAATGGACTGATGCTAATTATATAGGTGTTCATGAATATGCTTTAATTATTATTTTAATTATATATATATTTTAAAACTAACAAGGGTCCAATTCTAATTGTGCAAGAACAAAGACCATCACAGGCTGGCAGGTCTTGAGCATACCGACTGTGTGGGGGGCGTCTTCACCTGCTGTTTTGGTTCATGTTGGTATATGCAACAGCAAAGAGTGCAAATGAGCTGAGTGAGGTAGAATATAGATCAGAAGGTGTGGTGATTAATAAACACACTCTCCTGGTCTCATCGCTCTGACACAGCTGAGCCAATCACAAAGAAGCATGACATCAATAGCTCAACAAACAGAATCGCGTTCAGGCCTATGTGATTGCATAAATGTAGACTCACAATACCCACAGTGGTGTTGCACTCTGAAACAGGCGCACAAATACCAAATCTTACATAATGTTGCTTTAAATATTCTTTAATGAAGATATTTGTTTTAAAAAACAGCCTTCTGAGTACCACTGCAGAGTCACATAGGAGCAAAACTGGTGCACAATCCATTATTTTCATTCCAGTTCAAAAGTACCCCAATATTGGCTGCCATATACTGTAGGTAATTGGTGAAATTGGTAAAGATATTCCCCTCTAAAATTGGTATCTGGGGTGCCCAGATAGCTCACCTGGTAGAGCTGGTGCCACATGTACCAAGGCTGAGCCCTTGCTGCAGCGGCCCAGGGTTTGAATCCAACCTGTGGCACTTTGCTGCGTGGCACCCCTCTCTCTCTCTCCCTTTCCTGTCCTGTGCACAGGATTGATGAGCTCCAATAATCTGACTCTCACACATAAACAAGCAGAATATGTTCTAAATGACCAGACTGATGTGTTGAGTGTGATTATGTGGTGTTTATTGTCTGTTATTGCACATTTGCTCCAAGTACTTAGTTTTGTGTTAGTTAGTGCTCATTGTGATCAAGTAAAATGAAACATAAGCACGGAGACCATAGTGCGTAGCATATGGACATAATGTGAGAGTTATTCAAATTGTTGTGGTGTACACTATCTATAAAATTTCATGATTCAATAAAAATATTGGCTGTAGTGATTGTACAAATGTATTTCATTAAACAAACTAGGTGTGTGTTTGCCTTCCAGGACCTACTTGGATGTTTGGGTTCTATGGCAACCCGTACAATGGGCGTGGCCTCAAAGTTGAGTGGGGTGAAAGGCGGGCAGGCGGGGGAGGTTGACAGGGTGGCCGACTTCAAGACGCAGTCCTCCAGACCTCCGATACCTGATAGGAGAACATCAACACATAACATTAGACAACATTACAGTAGGGTTAAGGTATGACCAGAGTTGGGAAGAAATTCATTGATTAAAAGAATAGTTAATTTCCTTTTTGGTGCCACCATCATCTGAATTATACATATGATGTTTATAGACATATAAACACAAACAGTTCACTCAGAAATAAAAATTATGTCAAAATACAAAATATGACAATGTGAGAAAATAATTGAAATGCACAAGAGCGGTCAGCAATATTCAACAATGACTTTGCAGTAAACTCTTGTGACAAAGTGACCAGGAAATTAAAGAAAAAAAATCAAATACTTTCAATTACAGAGATGAAAAAATGCTTTCACACATATTATTCAAAATATGTCTTGTTCAGTTTTTTTGATCATATGGCGCTAAAAGTTTAAATGTTGAACAGCCATGAGAGGTACTTGCTGTAAACCATGTCCCTCCCATGCCTCGACCATACACAAGTTTGGCTACGTTTACACTGCAGGTCTAAATGCTCAATTACGATTTTTTTCTGAGATCTGATTTTTTTGCGTGGTTATTCACATTATAATTTAAATATGACCGCCATCAGACTCCAGTGTGAACAGTCTATGGCCCCGAAGTGACCCGCATGCGCAGAAGAAGACATGATGTCACACGCTGTGTTCACGGAAGTAAATATGGATGCTACACATGTCAACGGTGTCTGTCATTCTATCGTCCATTGTTTTGATATTGCTGCGTCCTGCCTCTTCCGTCGCAGGATTGTGACGTCTGTCTCACTTCAATGACGTAAAAATCAGATGAAATGCGACAAGACTGCTCAGACTGAGGTCCCTTTGTAACACATCAGATATTTATCCAATTTAGGACCACATATTAAAGTATATATAAATATAAAACAGTAATAGGCTAATTAGGTCTAAATATGTATATTTTACATTTCATAATTACTTTTTTGATCAAGCTGTGGGGCAGTGTTTGCTTAGAAGAATTCTGACCCTTGGACAAATATAGGTGAACACCCCTGCTGTACGTACTGCCCCATGCTATTCTCACTCTAATGTTCCTGCTGTACATTTCCTTTCCTTTCCTCTTATTTTACGACCACAACAGAAATACCGTAAAACTTCCAATAAAAGCAGGGTTTCATATAAAAGCCTGGTGTAGCGACACGTTTTAACAAATAAATGCAGGTCTCCAATAGAGGCCTGGTCTGGATTTTATAGAAATGATCTCGATATATAAAACCTCTTAAAACCCACCGGGTTGCC